GCATAATGTACAAACGTCATCGTTTTAAAATTCATCTCACATTTCCTTAATTCATAAAGGCATTTCCTATGCTATGAAATGCGTTAACTTTCAACAGTGTAAGTAGTATCGATTTGACGGCTTGTATTTAAATATCTTACAGCTGTGTATGCCTACCTTTGTTTCTATTTACGCATCACAGAACATTCGATATTATTTTAATAACATGTGTTCCGCGCACACCAGTAATTTGATGACCGAAACTTTTGAGTAAGGTCTCATAGTTGCTAACAATTATTACCAACAGCGTTATTGCCTAATATTATTAACAATAACAAATCCATTGATGTCGCGAGCTAAGGCGCAGAATTAAATTATGCCATCTGAGAAACTCGAACCAAAGAACCGCACTCTAAGCTTAAATCATAATAGATAACAGAAATTCTAGAATTGTGTATCCAGACAACATTTGCAAACAAATCCAATTTGAATCAGCTCAATAAGCTATTCGCTATATCCCATAATTTTGTTAAAATACCTATTCGGACTATTACTGCACAGTACAGGGGACAAATACTATATAGCAACAAAGAAAACAGAGCAATGAATTGATTTAAAACAATTACAAATATTTAGAATACAAATATCGGTATAAAAATAATATTTAACCTGCGATAAGAAATAGGTATCCCCGTCTGTTGTGTTTGTTTATCCATAAAAAAAGTTGTCAAGATTATCGAAACTTAACTGTTATTTTTTGTCTGATAAAGCATTTATTTGCATTTTTAAGTAAAACTGAATAGAAAATGAGATAGAGGATAAATGAAATATAATAAATGTGGTATAATGAGGAAGAGTAACGTAGAATATAAAAGAAAATAACGGATACAGTTATGGAAATTATATCCACATCATTCCTTATTTAATTTAGCTTACTCAGTATTTCTAGATTAAAAAATGTCGCGTTATTTATGCGCAATAAAAGATTTTCTTTAATAATAAGCACCATATAAATGAACGTATATTAGTCATCAGTTTGAACAAAAATCTTTGGCGGTTTTACTAAAAAATATTCACAAGCAACCAACAGTCATTGTGTACTGCAAGATAATTGGTACTGTTTTCTATACTCGCTTCTTACTTTAAACAGAGTACATAGTGTATTATGATTTAAAAATTACAATTATAATTTTTTCAATAAAACAAATTAACTCGAGAATAATTATAATGTTATATTAAATTTTAAATAATAAATGCAAGTACCTACAATAATTGTGTTATCTAACTCATTAATGATACAAAAAATATTTATTTTGTTTGCGTCCTAGGCACAGGAATAAATTAATAATAGCAAACTTTTTGCCAGCTCACGATAATGGAGTCGTGCATAATATAGTAACAGTAAGTAAAATCTAATTTAAACCAGAACAAAGAAACGGCAACAAAGAGTTTCAAACTCGAACGAATAATTATTATTGATTCGGGTGGCATAGAGAATATGCTTGTTGGTGAAATACTAATGAGTTTGAATGATCGAATGATACTATAAATTACCGTGGTCGATTATTTTATTAGAATATATAAATTAAACCGTCAAAATAACGTTATTATAAATTAACGATTTTAAATTATCCAATCACGATTAGCCGAGTATTATTAAATTTGTACCGACGAACACATACGGTTGGGAATGGGGTTAATCGCGTTATAAAGTCTCCGAACGGCGAAAGTCTATAATTTAGTGGTGCACTAGAATTTTTGATTGTATCACCATATTTTCTTACATATTATTTTCTTTGTGCGCGCGTTACCAAACTGGAGAAAGAAGGCCCTCCCTCGGGCACAGTTGAAGAAACGGTTGCAAAACTTGAGAGACACTACGTGTTTGCTATTAAAATGTTTACATTTAATATTTCACTGGGACGCCGCGGCTGTTTGGTTATCTAAGCGCAGTTCGCCATTGTTTTGCGTTTTACAAAAGCCCCAGGGAGAATATATAGGTCATTTTAGATAAGGCCGATATTGCGCGTCCAAGCTAATTCGGAAACTGCACGTTATCGTTGTAATTTCGAAGCTTAACGACGCCGGCCAAGTATAGGCGAACGACTAAAGATGGGTTTTGAGATGCAATTATTGCCGTTTCTCGATGCTGCCTGTTATTATTATATAATTGTACACTTCTCGGCGGGGCTCACGTCCTCCTCCCCCCCCCGTGTACGCGGCAAGAAGACCGAAGTGACAAAATACCGTCGTATTGAGTTGTCATAATAATATTGTTATTATTATATTATTCATCATCTATTGTAATCCGCGAGGCGAGGCGTAGGAAAATTATTTTTAAAAAAAATATCGCTTTCGTTCGAAAATCTGACAATGGCAGACGGCGCGGGGTCGAGTATAGGTAGGGTGGGGGTGAAAGGGGGCAAAATGAAAACCGTGATTGATATCGTTTTGCAAACATCGATTCGGTTGCTCGATGAGGTCGGACAAGAGAGCGGCGCGGCGGGCACGCGTGAAGGAAAGACAAGGCGGGCACAACACACCGGTTGATAGATTGTTCCGGTGGTATCCACTCCCCGGCCCATGGGCCGGCACGCAATATCCCCCGCTCTCTGATTTCTTGTTCCGACCCCGTGACGGTAATTCCGTGGGAAGCAAAAACGAAACAAAAGACAAAAATAATAATAAATAATAATACTTAATATTCATTATAACGTTCAACAGGAGATCACTGCCACCGCACCGTGGCGGCCGCCCACGCCGTCCGACAACCGCCGCATCGTCGATCTCGTCTCGGAAAGAACACACATTTTTTTTTTATGCCGAACAAAAGTAATCGAACGCGTTCGTTAGGAATCATTCGCCGGGTCATATATACTTGTATTATAAAAAAAAAAGGCTCAAAGTTATTTTTTCTAAGAAAGGTATTACGTATTATATTTTAACAGCTTGCGTACGAGTCCGCAACACCACGGGATACATTTTATGTATCTAAAGTGACTAGTAAACATATCAAGTTTCTGGCTAATATTTTAGTGTTTTCATAATATCTGGCCCAAACCAATTCATAGAGAATTTGGCCCCTTAAATTATTGAATTTATTATTCATTTATATTTTGAACGTTGTGAATACAACATAATATATGCCCCCAGTATATTAAAAAGCACAAACAAGCTAGTATATTAAAACATCAAATTTCTGGCTAATATTGTAGTGTTTATATCTGGCTTAAAACAATTCATAGAGAATTTGGGCCCCTAAACTCCCACCCCTATCTCCCATCCCTACCTCCTACCCCTATCTCCCACCCCTATCTCTCACTCCTAACTCTCACCCCCTAACTCTCACCTCTATCTCTCACCCCATATATCCTTCCCTTATCTCTCTTATCAGATAAATCAGCTGTTATTTTTCGTTATGATAAGCGGTGTCGGTGTCGATTTTCCGTGTGTGTGCCATAGCAAAGACATAAAAATGTCAAAAGTATTTAACAAATCGACAAGTCAAACAAATAAACAAACTTAATATAGATTTTAGCACAGCAAGTAGATACTAGTTACCAGTAAGCGGATGACATTTTAGACCGAAAATAATATTATTCGCTGTGATGGCCTGATAAATAATAATTAACCTTTGTACTATTAATATAGCTTTAAATGATATTAACACCTCTTTCACGGCGACGACGTCGTATTTCTTTACCCATTAATTTTTAATTACCAACGTTGTATTTAAAATATAAGATATAAAAAACCTTAGATTTATGTATTCAGGGTACGAAATAGAAAATACCATTTAGTACGTTGAATACGTATTTAATACACGGACCTAACAAAAATACCCATTTGATCCTGATCTGAGCAGAATACAAAAATCAGTTAATGCCAAAAGCATAAAACCTAAATACCGCATAACCGTCTTCTGATATTTTAACGGTCAAATTTGATAATACCGGAACAAAGCATGCATGAACGTTACGGGCAGTAAGTGGTTATACGTGACCAAACTCGAGTTAAACCGAAAGATAGAAATAATGATAGCCAAACTTCTCCAAAGCTCTGGTATAATTATGTAAACATAATTGGTCCGCAGAATAATAATACTTTTTTTTTGCTAATCCGTTTTGCTAAAAATTAAATTAAACATTTTTTTTAATGACGTGGGAAAGTTACATTTAAGAAAAATGTTGAACAAAATGTTTTAATTTTCATTACAAAGCCGCTCAAATTTTTAGGCAAAAATATTAATACATTTTTTTTACGCTTGAAACGACTTCATTTCCGAATAATAAAATTATATATTTATAGTTTGACAATGTGTACATCTAAAATACATTTTTATTTGTTTACTTTTACTTACTAAATAACACACTGTTGATTTTAAATTCAACAAAAATATATTATTAACTGTTTTAGTAGTCGATACATGTAGAATAATATTTTATTTTAAATACGTTTTATCATTGAATGTATTATATACTCAATGGTTTTATATACCATCCCTATACCTATCTTATATCACTTATATAATATATATTACACTCAATATAAATTTTAAAATATATTTTTTTGGCCAATCCCAAGCCAGTTTAATTTTTATAGTATCAAGCTATTCTAAAAATAAAATCAATTATAGTTAATGAATAAAACTAAAATAGGAAATGTACTTCTTTTAGCTTTATAACTAATCTCTAAAAAAATAAGAAGTATTAAAAAATTGATTTTTAGCCATTCCGGCAAGTAGCTGTAATTTTCAATACTTTTAGCTCAGAATAAAAAAACATTTATGTACGCGTGTTCTGATAATTGTATTCACTTATCTAAAATTGTGTTGGGTATAAATAGCTTAATATTACAGACGGACTGACATAAAAAACATCTACCGCCCTATAATAATTTTGATTAAATATACTACTTTAAGTATGCGTAATTAAATGTACTTATTTTTTTTGTATCATTCCTTTGCTTTGAATTGAAACCTTTGAATATATTTATTTATTTATATTTTCGTTTCATTTTAGAAATGGCGTCTGGTTCTATTGATCACAAAGTACCGGATGAAACAATTTCGCCATTGATTGAAGCAACGTCCATACGAGGTCCTTACTTCGATAAGACGGCATCGAAAAACATTACTGCGCTCGTAGGTCATACGGCTTATTTGAACTGCAGAGTCAGAAACCTTGGAAATCGGACGGTAAGTACCTACTTTATAACATTTTATTAAAACAGCTGCGAACAGGGTAACGTTGGAAAACGTCTAAAGTAAATTTCCAATGTGTGAGACAATCGCGTTTCTTTTATCGAAAGTTGTTGGGGATTCGTGACTTTACCTTTTTTTTGTATTCGTTACATACTTTTTCCCCCATAAGGTGCTAAAGTAAATTTGTAAAAAGATATTTGGTTAATTAGGTAAAAAATGATAAATTAATCAATATGGAATATATTATTATAGCAAAACGATTTTTTTTTTATTTGAAACTTTGTCAATAAAAATTTGTTTCTACGATCAAGGAAAACAAAAAAAAATAAAGTAAGAAGTACATAAACAATTTAATATGAAAATATAACAGGATAAAATGATTAAAACAATAAACTATCGTATGAACAATGTACATACTAATATTTAAATATATACAGAAGATAAATTCGTTCGACGTGCATTTTTAAGAGAAGGACATTTTAAACGTCTTCTTCTTCTTTTTATTTTCGTGTTGGACTAAGTGACTGGTATCACATAAAGCTTCATTGCTGTGATAAAGGCGCAAAGGGGAATCATTCAGGGATAGTTTGTGGGTATGTGCCGGGAGACAATTATGACATAAACGCAGTCGAGAAACGGGAACAATCATTTTCCTACTAACGTTCAAGTGGTGGAACCATGGATTAAGAGTGGGATATTGAACAACCTTTCTGTACTTAGTGGCATAGGCGACCGGAAGATTATTCTAGCAAGACTACCAAGAATTTGATGGCAAATAATAATTTAAAAATATTGCAGTAATATGTTAAATTATTTATGCAATTGTGTTACATAATATATTGTATTTATTACATTATTATAGTAATATTATACTATGTTTTACAAGTCTGAACATTCATTTTCAAGGTTCACTTTAACACCTTGTTCAATGAAAACCACCTGAATACAGGCATGTAGAAATTATTGTGCACTATATTTTTTGAAAATTTTTAAGAAATATTTTAAAGTTGATTTAATGTTGATTTATATATACGATTTTCTCAAAAATCTCTAACCAAACTTTTTTTTATTAAGGGATCACCCTTCTTCCTCAAAAAAATGCTTTGTGAAAAATTACACTTTGATCGTAGTATACTTCTGAGTTGCTATGGCAGAGCGAATGAAAAATATAGTAACTGCAAAATAGTTTCATTATGTTGTTAATTACGGTTAATGGAAAACAACGGCAACAAACTATTGTACACAGACAATCGGCCATAATCGTATCCCTAATACTTAGAATATAATATCAAGCGCATTATAGCTTTCACAAAATGCTTTTATTGATTTTTGTATTTCTACAGTCTATAGATTCGCATAGAAGCGTTAATTACAAAATCATTTTATCACTGAGTTACAATAATTAATCCTGTAGACCTGTGCCCCCCCCCCCAACCCATATGCTCAGTCTTCACTAAACTGATTTTTTTTTTATTATACACAAATTATCAGAGTAAAAAATTGAACTATCGACAAATTGCAATTGCAAACACCCAATTATAGATATTAAAATACTTCTTCTTTGTTCTATAGTAAATTAATGAAAATTAAGTTCTCTTCTGGCATTCCGCAGTACAACAAATGCTGAGCCTAAAGGCATACGCAATAATTTGAAGGCCATATTTCACGTAGTGTCAAATATAGCAAAGATCGTTCATTAGATTAATTTACTAAAGACCGCAGCAACCCTTAGCTAAATGATCATTGTATTCTAATTATAGTCCAGTCAATTTAAAGGGTATTCCATCTAAAAGTCACCTTTGTACGAAGGACACAAAATTAGAATGTCTACCCTATGTATATTATACAATACCATATAACTATTTAATTTTCTTTAAAAGTTTTAACAAGTACAACTAAAACAAAATTAGTACAAATTTTGACTTTATATTATTTAAAAACAATTTGGTAAACTCCCAACATACACATACATCTTACACGATTAACTAATGGGTGCAATTAAAAACAAATGTTTTCTAATTAAACCAAACATTTTTCTCGTAAGTTATTTTCTAACTTTAAATTATTTTTCTCCTTTTATCTATCTAGTGGATACCTCTATTTTATAGTTCTATCACAGAATATATGAATTCCATTTGTTCTGTTGTGTTACAGCTGGAAATATAATAATAGGCTACTTGTTTTTATTTTTCTAATAACATGATACACACTGGCAATCTCTAAATCTAGTTTTGATATGGTCATAGCCACACAATATATTTTTTTACTAGTCCTAACACAGTAATAAAAAAGTCAAATAAAGTGCAAATAAAAATTAAAATAATGTATTTTTCATAAAGCAAAGTTTGACCGAACAAATTTTTTATACGCTTTAAATATATTATAGTGGATATCCCTTTGAATTTCTAATATTCTTGAAATAGCACAACGAATATGTTTTTTTTAATATTAAGACGAAGGATGGCCTTATTCAGGTTGGTCATTGTGTAAAAGTATTGTGGTCTATTGTTTCGTGTCCACGTTTGACGCTTTACCAAATTAAGTCTGACGTTGTTGCCTCAACTCTAATCACACGGTATTATAAAGGGTTGACGTCTACCGAGACACATGACCTCGGCGAGTGTATGCATAAAATTATTATTATTATTACATAAAATGAGTCGTGGAAGTGACATTTTAACGGAAATAATTATATTTATAACCGTAGTGGCACGAGCCATCGGAAGTCAACCGCTCGAATTTTACACGACAGGGGAATAGCCTGATATAGGTGGAGACAATAATCTAAATTCCCGAAGGACGGTTTTGAGGAAGGGTTACGAGGAATAAAGGTATTCATTGTTGTGTTCGTTATTGGAGAACACGATTAGAGTAAATGGACATCAAACCCAGGTGAACACGATCGGACTATATCCGGCTGTGTAATTAATCATAGGCCCGAATTTCCGGAGAACGAGACCCGGTTAGGTTATTTGTCTGCAAATTCAAAACAGCCCCGCTGGCCAAACCTCCCTCCTAAACCCCTTTTTCATAATAACCAACAATACCCGTACCCATGTCATCCGTGGCACCGTCGTCCAGCCAACTACGTTCAAGCGGGGAGTTGAGTTTATTTTTGTTTTTATAACGAAGGCAAAACGAAAATTGGGATTCCACGGGAATCTCTGTAAAGGGTTCCGCCCAACTCGAGTTGTAAGTACTCGAAACTCAAAACCGTCGTGTACAAAAAAGATGTCGCACTCAAAAAACAAACAAAAAATATTATACCCATTTAGTATCCTTTAAAATCAATATATTTCAACAACGATTTGCGTAGGTAGGTACCTGGAAAATAAATATAAGTACCCACATTGCTATAGATCCACGTTAAATTCAATAACATTCCATTGTAGTCGGGACTTCATATCGGATTCAGATTACAACATAATGTATAACGAATGAACACTAATACCAATTCAAATATGGTATTCTGCCAAAATAGTTGAGCCATAAATGTTATTAAAAACAAAAAAGTACTATGTATAAAACTAATTGTAAATACTATTAGGTTTTTTTTAATTAATGAGTGAAACTTCTTAAGTTTCTGTGTCGAAATTACATAGTTTTATAAAATTTAAAAAATAAAAAAGGGATTAATGTGTTTTGTAAGCAGACTCTTTAACATCACGTGCCATAGAAGTTTTAATTAGAATAAGACATAATGTCTTAACGATACATAGCGCTCCCTTGGAATCGTATATATATATATACAATTCTTTAAAAACAAAAGTTTATTAGGTAGTTGTTTTAAGAAATTACTGCTGTAAATAGTCATTATATAACACAATAGAGCACGTTTTTAAAATATTGTTTAATTTGATTTGGCCATTTTTCCAAATTGATTTTAGGCCTCTTTGATATTCAACGTCTATAAATATTAGTTATTACCAACCAGAGACGAACTTAAAACACCTAAACTAGAATGAGATCTACAAAGATATTCTACTTAAATAGAATGGTGTTCTATAATAATAAATATTTATGATAGCAAACCATGCACGATATCTCTGTACCTGTCGGGTCTGTTATCCGCTAAAGATAAATCTGATAATAATTTAATATTCCTATATAATTTAAGTCCTCCTAATATATTAGCTAGACCTTCGCCTATTATACATTATAAATTAAAATCAGTGTATTTAGGTATTAACACAATAATGGTAGGTATACCAGTTATTTATATATTTTTAAGATTTTGATCTTCATTTCAAGCACATAAAATATAAAGCAAACAGGTTTTATTTTTTCAAGAAAACCTGTAAAGTTTATAAACGCTTTACAGCGCTGCACACACCAATGTTTTTCGAAAATTCATATGTCTCCGAGTTTTAACACAATATACGTCGTCGAGGGAGTTTCGTCTTAAACAAAATTGATGCCAGGACTTAATGAACCATACTTGTTTCCTACGCTTTCAACGTTAATGTGCACTTAATTTTCTTTTATGCTATGCAGGGGAGCCGTTTATATTGTTTAAAAGCCAAAATACACCCTTAATATCACAAAATCCACCAATACACACATTTTATTAAAAAGCGACGTAGTGGTAAAAAAATAAAAATAATAACGATAATCATCATCATTGAAAATTGTAAAAGCCTTGTATAATATTTTATTTCACTTCAACGTCGAATGCAAATAATATTACTTTTGTATCCCTACTTATTTTTACTTGCTTATTAAAAATATACTACTTTTGTAAGGCATCGCATCCCAAAGACCATGCTCGAGTTGAGTTTTGTTTTTTATACTGTTGTCTGGTAAATTACATCCTTTATTGTATACAAACATAATTAAATTACAAAGCAAAAAAAGGAAATAATGCTGAATATTTAACCTTATTTTTAATGCTCCGGAGGTTGTTGGTTCAGAAGCAGTCTGTGTTTTTGTAAAGAATTTCTGTCGAACACTTACTACTACTACTACTTGGTCGCGTTGAAAATGTTTTCTTAGAA